GTAGGCCAGTAGACATTAGAGCTGGACCAGCCCCCATAGACCCAGTCATACCTCAAGTTCAGGCCAGCTTCCATGGAATTAGGTGCCAGGATTGACCCTGTGGACCTAAGCACAAGGCCTTCTCTAGTACATGGATGTATTGACTGAGTATAGAATCAGATTAGGCCTATGGATCCAGACTTCAGGTTGGGCTCCATGAATACAGGCTTTAGGCTTGCTCTCATGGACTGTACACTTAATCCACAAGTTTACCCAGTGGATCCAGACCCTAGGCCCAGCCCCATGGACCCAAAATTCAGGCCCACCCACCTTCTGACCCAAGCACCAGACCACACTGCCTAAGGTCTCCAACAGCAAGTTCACCTGTAAACCTCTCAAGATAATCTGCCACATATCTCTAGATCAGCTGAACTGGTGAGAGACTTTCTCAGACAGAGCCAGTTTGCAAAGACTGGAATAAGTTCCTACTTCTTCATATGTGCAAACATCAATACACGGCCACAAGGATCAAGAAAAATCAGAAACTTGAGAAATATGACTTCACTGAAGAAAGAAAGAGCTAAGGAAAGATGTAAATATTCAGCTATATGAAGAATAAAGGTATCCAATTCAATTCAATTCAAACAAGACTACGAAACATAAAGTTCTAATAACTGACCCTAAAGAAATAGAGAACTATGATCTGCCTGACAAAGAATTCCAGATAATTTCTTTTAAAAGCTTATAAAATGTCAAGAAAATACAGAGAAACAATTCACTTATATCAGGAAAATAATGATTAAAAGGAGAAATTGAGAAATTTAACAGAGATATAAGTTATATTTAAAAAGATAATTTCTGGAACTGAAAAGTACGATAAATGAATGTAAAAAAGCAAGAATGTCAAAAGCAGGATTCATTGAGCAGAAGAAAGAATCTGAATTCAAAGACAGGTTATTTAAAGATATACAATCAGAAGGAAAGAGAATGAAAAGGAATTAAGAAAGGTTAAGAGATTCATGAGGCAGCATCAAAAGAGAAAATATTCAAGTTATAAGATTTAAATAGGAGAAGAGAGAGATAAAGGGGTAGTAATATAATTTAAAGAAATAATAGCAAAAAAGTCCAAATACAGGAAAATATATAAAAATTCAGGGACAGGATCATCAAAGGTCTCCAATTAAATTTGATTCAAACAAGACTGAAACAACATGTATTAAAATCAAACTACCAAAAAAAAAAGAAGGGCTGGGATTGTGGCTCAGTGGTAGAGCACTCACCTAGCATGCTCCGGGACCCTGGGTTCGATATATAGGGTCCAATTATAACTAAAAATAAATAAATAAATATTATTTTAAAAAAGAAGAAAAGGATAAGCTGGGTATGGTGGTTCAGGCCTGTAATCCCAATGGCTCAGGAGGCTGAGGCATGAGGACTACAAGTTCAAAGCCAGCAATTTAGCATGGCCCTGAACAACCTTGAGATCCTGTCTCTAAATAAAATACAAAAATGGGCTGGAGATGTGGCTTGGTAGTTAAGCACCACTGGGTTCAATCCAGTACAAAAAAAAAGACAAGTAGGAGTCTAAAAGCAGGAAGAGAAAAGAAACAAATAACATATAAATGAGTTTCAATGAGGCTGCAAACAGATTTATCATCAGAAACCTTATGGTCGAGAGTATATCCAGAAAGCTGAAGGAAAACAAACAAACAAAAACTTCCAACAAAGAATACTTTACACAGCAAAGCTGTCCTTCAGAAATGAGAGCAATAAAGACTTTCCAAGAAAAACAAGTTTACAGAGTTCATAACCTCCAGATCTGTCTTATGGGAAATGCTGAAGAGAGCTTCTCAAACTAAAAGAAAGGGACACTAATTAATAACACATGCCAAAAAAATGGGAGTATAAAGCTCATGGTCAAAATAACTGCACAAACTCAGAATATTCTATTTGGTGTAGGGGGGGGTGGAGGTGGTACCAGGAATTGAACTCAGGGGCACTCAACCACTAAGCCACATCCCCAGCACTATTTTGTATTTTATTTAGAGACAGGGTCTCACTGTGTTGCTTAGTGCCTCACTGTTGCTGAGGCTGGCTTTGAACTCATGATCCTCCTATCTCAACCTCCTGAGCCGCTGGAATTACAGGCATGTGCCACTGTGCCTGGCCCAAGCTCAGAATATTCTAATACTGCAATGCTGAGGTTTAAATCACCTTTGCCTTCACTTTGAAGGTTAAAGAAAAACCTATTAAAAGTAACAATACCTACAATAACTTTTAAGGTACACACAACAGAAAAAGATCTAAATTATGACATCAAAAATATAAAATGGCTCTAGCTGCCATCTTCTTGTGAATGCTTGTGTGCACCTAATCTCAGCTGGTCTGCCTGAGACCCCCTAAACACCAACCCTAGTTCCCCATATGGCCCCATTTCTGCTCCAACAGGATGAAAGAAACTATCATGAACCAAGAAAAACTCTCCAAACTGCAGGCACAAGTGCATATTGGTAGAGTTCTTCTTAAAGAAGTTAGGGGTAAACAATATCTCTGGTATTAAAAAGGTGAATATGTTTACAAACGAAGGAACAGTGATTCACCTTAATAACCCTAAAGTTCAGGCATCTCTTGCAGCAAATACTTTCACCATTACAGGCCATGCTGAGACAGAGCAACTGACAGAAATGCTACCAAGCATTTTTTAAACCAGGTTGGTGCAGACAGATAGTTTAAGGAGACTGGCTGAAGTTCTGCCCAAACAATCTGTAGATGGAAAAGCACCACTTGCCCCTGGAGAAGATGATGATGATGAAGTTCCAGATGTTGTGGAGAATTTTTTTTTAGTATTTAGGTTTTATTATTTTCTATTCACTACGTCAATTCAAGTTCTTGTCCATATCTCATGAGAGGCTGGGCTTTTCCAAATCAGATACAGTCCAAAGGTGGCCCACATGTGTGAGTTTATTGTGTCACTGTAAACAGGAAACCTTGTCTCCTCCTGACCACAGGCCCAAAAGGTTATAAAAGAAAGGTAACTTATCTCCAATGTGAGAACACATCCTGAAATTTAGGAGCCTCACCTAGGCATCTTCATTGATTTATTGGATGATGCTGGGGAGGGAACTCAGGGCCTCATGCATGCAAAGCCAGCACTCTACCCAAGCCACATCCCCAGCTCACCATGGTGTTTTGGGGTTTTTAAAGATACTTTTTTAGTTCTCATTTTATCTCTTTCTTATGTGGTGCTGAGGATTGAACCCAGCACCTCCCACGTGCTAGGCGAGGGCGCTCTACACTCTACTGCTGAGCCACGACCCCAGCTCCCACTGTGGCGTTTTTTAAAGACTAAATGTGATACCCCAGAAGGAATTTCCATGTTGCAAAATCCTCATTCTTGCACATTTCATACATATAAAAATGTTACCCAGTGTTTCAATTATGTATCTACAGTTATATCACAACTGTGGGTCAGGCAGAAGGATCCTGCTGGCTGGAATCTGACTCTTATTTCCCAGTGATCAGGACCATCCAGCCTGGTGCTGTCACACAGGGGTCAGCATCAAATGACACCCAGACCAGCCACCACTCAGATGACCTTCTTTGATCTTCAATTGTGACCATATAGTAACTTGTACTTAATAAAAACTCATACTACTTCCCTAGCATAAAAAAATAAAAATAAAAAACACATACTACTTCAAAGTACCTCAGAAGAGAATAAGCAATTATTCCATTTTATGTCGTTCCCAGGTTTTAAAATATGCAATATCCTGTACTTTATCATCTAAGATTCAGAAGTAAAAACATTATAAAAATACACCTATCTTTTTCTGGGGTGGGTACAGGAATTGAACTCAGGGGTACTTGGCCACTGAGCCACATCCCCAGCCCAATTTTGTGTTTTATTTAGAGTCAGAGTCTCACTGAGTTGCTTAGCGCGCCATTGCCAAGGCTGGCTTTGAACTCGCGATCCTCTTGCCTCAGCCTCCCAAGCTGCTGGGATTACAGGCATGCACCACCACACCTAGCAAAATACACCTATCTTTGAAAAGGCGCTTAAGCATTTTGTTTCCTCTGTAATAAGGCTCTGCGCACCCGCACAGCCCAGAGAACCTGCCTAACCTGCCGAGCTGCACATAACTCACATGTGAAGTGTAACAGGCAAATGTAAGAACATGATGGGGCTGGGGAAAACTGGTAGTGGCGTGTCTGGAGGACATGGTACATACAAGGAGCTGGCAGGCTCACCAAGTAGACGGTGGGAATTCCACGGCCAGGGCCAGACCTGAGGGACTCTAGGTCCTGGTCTGCTTACAGGGCCTCAATGCGCCTCCACCCTTATGATGACAGTCCAGCCCAGGACAAGAGTAGCCAGTCTGCAGGGCCACATCCTCCTTGACGACACCATCTGCATCTGCAGGTGCCACCAACATTAACTAAAAATACTAACAGCCAGTGAATGCTCTCTCTGCAAAGAAAAAGCAAAGCAAGATGACTTTGGCATGTGAAAACCTGATGCTCCCAATTGTAGCAGGGTCCCTGGGGCCCTTGGTCACAGCACTGGTTCGGAAGGCGGGACCATGGGTTGTTAGAGTCTATAAACAAGTCAAGATGGCGCTTGGCATTTTGCAGAGGGAGTGGTTTGTGAAGTAACGCCAGTGAGCCATTAAGTGTGGAGATTCCTTATTGGTTGACTGCTGTTTCTAGTTTATGTTAATTAAGATAAGCTGTGTGGAATGTCCTACAATAAACAGCTCCCACTCCTGCTGTATCAATGTACACAAGTTGTTCGTCACCCCCGGGTTATTCTGCTGCAGCTGGACTGCGGCAATGGGTCGCCAATGACACTCTACCTCACGCACAGCTGTTTGCAGGCACTTCCATGAAGGTTAGTAACTGTGCATGTGAAGGATTCTAAAAGCTCACATTCAACTGCAGGGAACAGCTGAACTGCCATCATGCCGCACACAGGACAGATTAGTGTCTTTTCAACAGTCAACTCTTAGAAACTTCTAGATCCCAAGTTCACAGGTGCAAATATGCAGAACCCTGAAGAGGTCTTTAAAGTGTTTCTGAAGGGCAAGGTCCAGGTGTGGGTAAGCGCTCAGTGGAAATCTAGCCGGGACTGCACGCTCTTACAGCCCTTGTCTGAATAGATTTTCTCATCTTTGGGGAAAAACGTCATTTCCTCTGCCACCCTGGTGAATATGTCTTCATCTACAGCAACACCACAGGACTGCATCTCTGCCCTCACATACATCTTCATGTGTCTGTACTCCAAGGGGATGAAGTAGTTGATAAGGTTTCTTTCTATTAGCCCACTGTGCCACAGGCCACTGTGTTTATTGTTGAAGACTCCAACAGACAGCACAGGTTCCAGGTCCTTCAGCTGGATGTCTTCCCTCTTTCTTCCTGCCCTCCAGAAGTCCAGAACCATCTTAGTTATGAGGTCTCCACCTGCATTGCTGAGAAAGATGAAGATGGCTTTGCAGTAGAATACCCTATCCAACTGCTCATAGTAGTCTAGGAAGGGCTTGATGGAATCGATGATCCCAGGATGCAACTTATGAATCTTCTCAAATATGAAAGCCAAGCTGGTGCAGGCACTCACATTTCCATGAATCCACTTCTGTAGCTGCTACTGGTACAGTTTAATCTTCTGCTCATGAGGGAAGTGCAGAGTTGATACAAACAGGTGGACAAAGTCGCTCTTCAGGCCTTTTGGGTGAAGATTTTCAGCCACAATTTAACTAACAAAATTCTTGCCTGTGCCAGCCTGGCCATGCAAAGACAGGGTCAGTGATTTCTTGGGATTTCTGCTTTCTTGAAGCCTATCAGTGCCTTGAGAATCACTTCCGTGGCCAGATGCTGTCCAAACAGCTTCTGTTCCAAATCCAACTTGAGAGTCGAGGCGATGAGTGGCTCCTCGTAGCTGCAGCACTTGGCAAAGCAGCAGTACAGGTCCTTATAGGAGAGGTAGCCCATGAAGGCCAACACGGCCCCGATGGCCAGGCCCACGCTGAGGGGCTCCAACGCTGACACAGTGTGGGCAGACAGCAGCAGCCACAGTGCCACAGTGCCCCAAAGCCACCCTGCCAGTTGCATCACCAGTCTGGAGCCTCAGCAGCCACGCTGGGCCCAGATGGCCTTTGTGGAGAATTTTGATGAGGCATATAAGAATGAGGGAAACTAAACTGATTAACTTCTGAAGAGGACAAAGTTAAAGAAATTACTGGGAGCTGCTATTTTATATTATGACTGCTTTTTAAAATTGTTTTGTTTATGAACCTGATAAAAATCTAGATCTCTAATATTTTTAAGCCAAGGCCCCTTGGACATTTTTCAATTTTTGCTTATACACAATTTATTCTTTGAAGCTAATTAAGCTGAAGAAGCCTGGGAATAAAGTTTGAAACAAAGGTTAATAAAGTTCTTGGCCTAGTTAAAAAAAAACATAAAACGTAGAAGTACAATAAATGTATAGTTCTTGTATGTGATCAGAGTTAAGTTTTTATTATCTTAAAATAGCCTGTTGTAACCAGAAGATGTAAGCCTCATGGTAGTCACAAAGCAAAAGCCTAAAGTTGAATTTTAAAAAGATAAAATATTGTTCTAAGCATTTTGGTAGAACAGAATGGCAACAGCTATGCAGAGGCTAACAAGTACATATAACAGATAACCATAGTAGCAGAAACTGGAAACAAACAACAGGTAACAGGAATCCCCATTTAGGCTCAGTGCAGTAAAAGGCCCTAGGCTGTCTGAGCTAAAAGTGCCTAGGTTGTTGACAAACTTGTAACCATATAAGAAATGTAGAATGCATCCTGCAGTAGAATTGTACCAACTCCTTTGCTTTGATGTACCTAAAACTTGCTTATGTATAAAAGTAAAAGCACTATTGTGCTTGGGGCTCAGACTTTAGGAATTAGCCCTCTGGGCTGCACCACCACCAATAAAGTGTTGCTTCCAGTTCACACTGTCTGGACCCTGATTTCCTGCTACATTATATAACTAAACAAAATCACCCAATCACAAATAAAAACAGCAAGAGAGGAGGAAAAGAATAAAGTGTCTACAAAACAACCAGAAAACAAGAAGATGGCAATAGTAAATCCTTACATATCAATAATTAATTTGAATAGAAATGGATTAATTTCGCCAATGAAAAAACATATGGTTGCTGAGTGTATTAAACAAAAAAGCAAGAACCAATGATATGCTGCCTACAAGAGACTCACTTCACCGGTAAGGACATACACAGACTGAAAGTGAGGGATGGAAGAAGATGTTTCATGCAAATGGAAACCAATATAGACTAGGAGTTGTTATATCTGAAAAACTAAACTAAGTCAAACACTGTATAAGAGAGAAAAAGAAGTTATTTATATAATGATAAAGGGTTACTTTCATCAAGAGGATGTAGTAATTATAAATATGTATGTACTCCCAATTGGAAAACCTAGAAATTTAAAGCACATATTAACAGATCTGAAGAGAGAGATCAATATAATACTACAGTAGTAGGGGTCTTCAATACCCAACTTTCAGCAATAGACAAATCATTGAGATAGAAAACCAACAAGAAAACATTGGAATTAAACTATGTATTACAACATATGAAACTAATTAACATTTACAGAACATTCCATCATTCTTCTCAAGTGTACATGGAATATTATACAGGATAGATCATACATTAGAAAACAAAATAAGTCTTGATAAATTGAGGAAGACTGAAATCATATTAAGTATCTTTTCTGAGACAGTGGCATGAAACTAGAAATCAATTAACAGGTCACATTTCAGAAAACTCATACATAAATGGAAATTAAACAGCATGCTTTTGAACTACCAATGGGTCAAAGAAGAAAGTAAAAGGGAAATTTTTAAAATCTTGAAACAAAATAATAGGTACAGAACCTATCAAAATTTACAGGTTGCGGCAAAAGCAGTTCTAAGAGGGAAGTTTATAGGAATAAAATGCCCACAGGAAAATAAAAGAAAGATCTCAAATGAACAATCTAGGGATTATAGGCATGTGCCACCAAGCCCAGCTCATGACAAAAAAAATCTTAATAAATTGGGTATGGAAGAAATGTACCTCAATATAATCAAGGTCATATATGACCACCCCACAGCAAATATCATACATAATGGTAAAAAGTTGAAAGTTTTCCTCTATAATTAGCAAAGAGAAGGATGCCTATTCTTACTGCTTCTGTTCAACAAAGTACTGGAAATATTATCTAGAGCAAGCAGATAAGAGAAAAAAATCAAGAGGCATCAAAATTGAAAAGGAAGAAATTAAACTGTTCTTGTTTACAAATAAAATGACCTTGTATAATAAAAACTCTAAAAATTCCACCAAAACCTTTTTGAACTAATAACAAATATAATAATGTTGAAGTATACAAAATCAAAATTTAGAAATCAGTAGTATCAAGATTTCATCTCACTCTAGTGAGAATGGCAATTATCAAGAACACAAATAATACAAGTGCTGACAAGAATGTGGGGAAAAGGTACATTGGTACATTGTTGGTGGGACTGAAAATTACAGTCACTTTGGAAAGCACTTTGGAAAGCAGTATGAAGATTCCTCAAAACTAGATATGATCTAAAAATAAAAAATAAAAAGAAGACTATGTATGGAACCACCATAAGACCCAGCTAGTACACTCCTTGGTATTTATCCTAAAGAACTAAAATCAGCATACTATAGCAATGTAGCCATCCTCAATATTTATAGCAGCACAATTCACAATGGCCAAATTATGGAATCAACTCAGATGTCCATCAGTAGATGAATGGATCAAGTATATATACACATTGAAGTTTTACTTAGCCACAAAGAAGAATGAAATTATGACATTTGCTGGCAAATGAATGGTACTGGAGACTATCATGCTAAGTGAAATAAGCCAGTCTCAGAAAACCAACAGCTGGATGTGCTCTCTAATATGTGGAAGCTAGAGAGAAATAAGAAAAAGAAGGAGTAGAGGTTTAGATATTATAAAGATACAGGGAAAACCAGTAGCGCAGGAAAAAAGGGGGGGATTAAAAGGAGGAGAGGAGGATTGGGAAAGGGGAAGAAATGGGGAATGAATTTTTTAAAATGATGCTATGTCATATAAATATAAAGGAACTTCACCTTTATGTATAAGTAGACAGAATCAATCAAAAATAAGTAGAAGAAGATCAGTATACTAAAGCAAGGAGAATGGGGGAAGGAAGAGGAAAAGAAAAAGGGAGAAAATGAACTGAAATCAAATCCTATGCATGTATAATTCGTTGGGATGAACCCAACTACTATGTATGATAATAATGCTCTAATAAAAAATTCAGGAGTGTTTAATGGTAATAATAAACTAGTAGTTAATAAAGAACTACTCAAATAAGAAATTAAGAAAATAATCCCATTTCCTATGCTTAACCAAAACTATAATACTCAGGAGTACATTGAATCAAGGAAACAAAAAATCCCTGTACACTAAAAACAATGAAACACAGATGAAAGAAGACGCAAATAAGTGTAAAGATAACCCACACTCACAGATTGGAAGAATTAATATTGTTAAAATGTCTACAATACTCAATGAAATCTACAAAACAATACAATCTCTATAAAAATCCATCTGACATTTTCCCCAGAAATAGAAAAAACAATCCTAAACTTTGTATGGAACCAAAGATGATCTTAAATAGCCAAAACAATCTTGAGCAAAAAGAAAAAAGCTAGAGGCATTCATATTGGGATAGGGAGAAGAAGATGAAAGGAATAGATAAACTCTAGATCGGGCAGAGGAATTAGAGGGGAAAGGATGGAGCATGGGGTAATTAATGATGGTGGAATGTGATGGTCATTATTATCCAAAGTACAGGTATGAAGACACAAATTAGTGTGAATATACTATGTATACAACCAGAGATATGAAAAATCGTGCTCTATATATGTAATAAGAAATGTAATACATTCTGCTGTCATATATAAATAAAAAAATAATGAATAAAAAATACTTTTAGTTGTAGATAGACACAACACACTCATTCATTCATTCATTCATTTGGTGCTGAGTTTCGAACCAGTGTCTCACACATGCTAGGCAAGCATTCTGGCACTGAACTACAAGTCCAGCCCTAAAACTGAGAAAATTCTAAATGAGAGGTTGAAATCATAACAATATCTCTGAGGCTGAGGATGCAGCTCAGTGGAAGAGCACTTGTCTACTGTGGTGCCCTAGATTAGATTCCCAGTACCACATATACATACAAAAAGAATACATCTAAGTCATTCTTTATTTCTCATATCATGGAACTTTAAGAGATGGAATGGGCCTTAGAGACCATATAACACAATTTCCTCATTTTACATATAAAAAACTGAAGACAGGTGAAATGACTTACCTGAGTCATGTAGACACGAATAAAGGAAGTAACACTTAGATTTCCTAGGAAACTACTTTTTCTAAATTAAAGAAACTTTCTGAATGATTTACTTCATTTATTTTATTGTGGTAAAGATACACATAATAAAAAGTCTCTTACCTTAAATTTTAGTGTAAAACACAGTATTGTTAACTACATGTACATCTTGAATAACCTTAGTTTTTCTTTAATGGTCTATCAAAATTACACTTTTAAAAATAATTTTTAGTTGTAGATGGACACAATACCTTTATTTTATATTTATTTTTATGTGGTACTGAGGATCAAACCAGTGCCTCATACATACTAGGTGAGCACTCTACTACTGAGACATAATCCCAGCCTCTGAAGTTACTTTTTTTGGAGGGGTACCAGGGATTGAACTCAGGGCACTCAACCACTGAGCTACATCCCCAGCCCTATTTTGTATTTTATTTAGAGACAGGGTCTCACTGAGTTGCTTAACACCTTGCTTTTGCTGAGGCTGGCTTTAAACTCATGATCCTCCTGTCTCATCCCCCAAGTCACTAAGATTACAGGCGTGTGCCACCACACCTGGCCTGAAGTTACATTTTTACTAATTGCAACTACTCTGCATTTGTAAATAACCCCCCAAGTTTATTTTATGTGAAGTCATATCAATGTAATCTGGAATCCATTGCTTCATTTTAATTTAATGA